GTATGTTTTGAAGTAGAGACTATACTCATTTTATCAATGCAGTACACTCAGAATACACAGACAGAACTGACAGTACACCAACAATACACCAGCAGTGCATTCAAATCTGCTGCACATATTGCAGGCCTATAACTTATCAGTACATTATCCATAGCAATCCATTCCAAATAACATTCATATTAACCAGATGCAGTTGCTAACAGTTACTAACAACAGCTATTTATACAGCAATACTTACAACCCTTTTTTATTACATTAATTTATTTCAATAACAATAATACACAGGCATAGTGAGAAGCTGGCAGTATGTGAAAGGCGGCCGAGCATGTGCATTTGCCTTGCTTTACCAGAGCCCATAAAGTGAGCAGCTAAGAGAGGTAAATGGACTGCATTTATATAGCACTATTCTGCCTTACTGGTACATAAAGTGCTTTACAGTGTGCCTCGTTGGGCCATTTGCACACAGCGGTGGTGACAGAGCAGGCTCTGGGGGCAGCTCTAATCCCATTGTCCTGCCAAGAAGTCGTTGTCCTTTCCTCGCACTTGAGGTTTTGACTTTGTATGCAAAATCTTTCTGCTCTATTCTTCATCTATTCTGGTGTGTATACCAAGAATGGAACCTGTCACTCTAGCGTATAAAATTTATTTTGAGAAGACTATCATATCAGCTTTTGGCATTTTTTCTTTCTTTTTTTTTCACCCTTTTTTGCAAAGTTGCACAATCTAAGTTATATGTAATTGTGGTTACAGATGAATTATTAGTAGTATTACAGTGCCTGTACCAGTTTTTCCCATGTATTTGAGCAAAATGTGTCTAAGGGTACTGAATAAGGAGCTCAGGTCAAACTAAGTGTGCTATGTACTGTGTTTTATTGTCATCTCAAGTGCTTATAAACTCATAATGGTGAATAATTAGGATGTCAGAATTCATAAGTTCATAAGTGTAAAATATATTTGGACCACTGCAACTCTATCACCTATCTGCACCAGAAAAGTTGCACAGTGCACCTTTAAGCATGGTTGTGTATACTACACCAAAGTCTGAACTGTAGTTAATTTACTACTTTAAAGTAATTAGTGTGTATTAAGTGTGTGGTTTTTCAAAAGCTATCAACACCTTTTCTGTCCAAGCAGGCCTATTATTTTGAAATAAACTGCAGTTCCCACTTCCCAATGTATTTGTAAGAGCCATATTGAATTCTTGCAGCTGTACCTCACTATGCAGAAAGTAGGACAAAGTATACCACAGACCATTTGTATAAGCTGGCTATGAACACCAGCAGGGCAGTCAATGAGCACCTGCAGGGCTGTGCTGAGTCTACACAATTGCATATACACAGTTTATAACCAAGAACAAATGCTCAGAACTGTTGTTATGAAAATATGAATATGTGTTACGCAACATCTGAAAGAAGGACTGCTTAACCTGTACAGATGTTGAGAAAATCATTCTGGGGCATTCGTGACATTCCTCCATGGTCGTCCATCTGGTTTAAACATGAACTCCATCACTCATGGTAAGAAAACAGAATATATGTCACAACTACTAGCATTTAAAACATAGACAACTAGGCCTGTCACAATAAATACTACTAGTACATTGACTTATCATACAATATATGAAAATACGAACAATATACTAGCATTTTGTGGTTCAAGATTTACCGTGTGTGCATTTTCTTTGTAAAATTGGAGATTTGGGGTATTTCTATTTTTAAAAAATTGTAATTTGAGCTGTAGAGGGTTGAATAATTATCTTCTATAGCTAATTATTGGTTCATTTTGCTATTTATTTGTTGCAACTCAGGCCTTTTAATGATACTTTCTATTTAAAATGGGATTGTCTTGCATTATTGTTATTGTATCAGTGGCATTAAGTAATTTCAATATTATCGCAGTAGTCAAAAGACAACTAATGAACCGCAGATGCATTTCATTTCAGTGTCATGTCAGTGCTTTGTCTATGGCATTTTACTACATGGCATATCAGTAAAACAGTTTGGATTATTATCAAATATATAGGCTTCAGATAATTTAACCACACTGGATTAAATGCAAACTAAGCATACAGAAAATCTTGCTGAAGCAAAAGTGACTAGAAAGACAAATAATCCCCATATCTGAAGTCTGCGTAATATGCAAATCCACAGAGCCATATTTCACAGTGTTTGATGAAGTGACTACAAAAGCCAGTAAGTTATTCTGCAAAGATTCCATCAAGCCAACTTATCATTTAGCTCAGTCTGAATCAGAATATTTCATAAGTCATAAAGATATGACCGATGACTCAGATTGACCCAGCTATTAATTCTAACATATCTGATTTCATAGAATGGATCATTTCATTTAATGAGCTGCATATATTACTGCAATACAAAATCAGACTCAAAGTGTGGAACTTAACAACGCTAATGATATCGAAAGACACCAATTATTATGAAAAATGTAAAACTTAAACAGCAAAGGTTACTTGTATCTTGCTTCAAACCATCCATAAATGAGATTCATGTTGTCTTCAAGATAAATGTAATGGTTTTGACAGAGAACTTTGACTTATGCATAGTACACTTAATATTTTATACTCTGTGTCAAGCTAGATGCATTAAGTGACACAAAGAAATGTGGTGTCCAAACAACCAGTGATTGTAAGTGATGAATATGTAAATGTGTTGACTCCTGAAGGATAAATCTCTCCCTGATTCAAATGGCCGTCTGCAGCGTTTGTCATGAGTGGGAATACTGGCAGTAAATTTCTGGCCTTTGTTTGGTTAAGCCATGGCACATGCACACTCAATGACAATTTAGGGATATCCAATTAAATGTACAATGCAGTGATTTATTAGTGTAACAAAATGCATTATAAAATATGTATCACCAAACTATGAAAGTGGACTCATCATTCACTAGACTCAACTTTTATACTGTAGGGGGCATATTATGGAAGATATACTTTATAAACTAAAATATTGTTAGATTACTTGAATTAGCAATGTTTTGATTGATCTATGCATGTTTGGGTGGTTCTGTATTGTCTTGCTATTAAGGTTTGAGAGCCCAGATTTTTTTGTTTGTTTGTTTTCATCTACCCCTAATGTGTAAAAAATCTTGTCTGTATCATACTTATAGGGTTAGAATTATCATGTAGCCATTCTTCATTAATAAAAACATGTAGATAAAGATCTGCTGCCTGCTACAATGATTCATTGTTCATTGATTCATGTTCATTGTTCATTGTATTAATGGACAGAATTTCTAGTTGCAGTCAGGGGCCGGAGGGGGTCCGGTTTGGGGACCACAGGATTTCATCTCTGCTGTTTGCAGATGATGTTGTCCTGTTGGCTCCATCAAGCCAGGATCTGCAATGTGCACTGGGGTGGTTTGCAGCCGAGTGTGAAGTGGCTGGGATGAAGATCAGCTCTTCCAAGTCCGAGGCCATGGTTCTCGACTGGAAAAAAGTGGCTTGCCCTCTCCGGGTGGGTGGAGAGTCCCTGCCTCAAGTGGAGGAGTTCAAGTATCTCGGGGTCTTGTTCACGAGTGAGGGGAGGATGGAGCGTGGGATTGACAGGCGGATCGGTGCAGCGTCTGCAGTGATGCGGTCGCTGTATCGGACCTATGGTCATGAGCTCTGGGTAATGACCGAAAGGACGAGATGGCGGATACAAGCGCTCGAAATTTGTTTCCTTCACAGGGTGGCTGGGTGCTCCCTTAGAGATAGAATGAGGAGCTCAGTCACACGGGAGGAGCTCAGAGTAGAGCCGCTGCTCCTCCACGTCGAGAGGACCCAGTTGAGGTGGCTCGGGCATCTGTTCTAGATGCCTCCTGGGCGCCTCCCTCGAGAGGTGTTCCAGGCATGTCCCACCGGGCGGAGGCCCCAGGGAAGACCCAGGACACACTCGAGGGACTAGTCTCGAAATAAAATGGATGGATGGTATCTCAGTTCTGCAGTTTTGAAGACGAAGCTGGTTTTACTTCAGTATTGTGGTCTATGGTGAAAAAAATGTAAAAGAATAATCTATGTATGTTACTCTTTAATACTAAATAGCGCAGAAAAAAAGCATATTATGTCTTATATCTATGTATAAAAGCCAAAGCAGGGCATCCTATTTTCAGTCATAAGTTTAAAAACTTACAATCTTTTTTGAAATGACTATTTTTCAACAAATGGAGCGTAATTCAGCCTGGAGGACCTAACTTTGCTCCTATCTACCTCACTTCTTCTCCAGATCTACTCCTCAGCCTTCATCACTTCACTCCAAATACTTTGAATATTTGAGTATGTCTAATCTGTCCAATTTAAACCCCCACTGCAGCTGCATGGCCAGTTCAGTTTGTGCTGCGCCCCACCTTCTCCCCAGCACTGCTTCAGTTTCTTGTCATCCCCTTGACTCTCCTCGGCCTCATATCTACCACCTCCAAGTGTCCGGGGGGAAAGACATCTCCTAAACGTCATCAATATCTTCTGCTGGGGTCTGAGTGCTAAAGATAACTCAATCAATAAAGCTACTAAAACTTTCTCTTTGTATCTGTCTGAGTCTCTCCAAGTTGAAATGTGTTGGTGTCCAGGCTTGGGATGTAACAATAACCGAAATATTGTAATATCGTATCATCAATAATATCATGGGCCAGCACAATATACCAAATTACAAGACTCTTTACTTAAATTCATTGTTATGGTGCAGCAAACAAAACAAAACAAAACAAAACAAAACAAACAAACAAAAAAACAAAAAACTGAGGGAACTACATAGACCATAATGCTTTGCGCTGCTTAAGCGCATGAAGAAGTAAGTGTTAATAACCATTTTTGAATGTTAGTTCTTTGGATGATCATAGGACCAAAGTCTTGTCAAGGCATTTAAAAAAGAAAACTCTTTTGTTAACCTTCACAAAATATCACAATAAATTTGCATATCATAAAAATAGCAAGAGATCTGGATACATTACATCCTTAGTCCCTGTGTTGTTCAGATGCTTTTGAGAGCAGAGCATGCCTTGCGTACCTCTGGTATGGCTGGGGATCCTCCTGCGGCTGGTGGAGGAGCTGTGCGTGACGTGCTGGTACTGGGACATGTCCGATGGCGTGTTTGGAACATGGAAACTGTCCTGGAACCTCTGCATCAAATCCTCCACTGACTCTGTATCTGGGTCTACAGCTAGAAAACACAGGCAGACATAATGAGGTGTGTCATTGACATGTCAGGAAATCAAAGCTCAAGTGAGTGACAGGAGCGCACACATGTTTATTCAATATGGGGCTAAATGGAAGAATATGGTATGTGCTGTGCAATTTCTATAAAAAACCAAAAATGGCAAAATGCATTCCTTTCTTCTTTTATTTTGTTCTGTTTAAATGAATCCATCAATTCAATATATCCTCATCTCTCCAGGGATTCTGCCAACACTTTCACTGATTGCTCAGTCTGGCTCTTCCTGATGGATGACTCCAAAACAACTGAAGGGGAAAGCGCGCTATTCAGACATTTTCTTTGAACAAAAACACTTTTAGAAAAAAGTTTTGAGAGTTGCTTCATGCTAGATGCAAGCCTATATTACACTTCTGATCTATGTTATAATCTTGTTTCCTCATTAAATCATACAGAGATGTGTTTTCTTTCATTCACACATTAACACATTAACACGCTAACCGAGTTCTTCTCTCAAACAGAAAATACCCCACATTGTGATGCCATGTAGTAATACAGGAAGTGCTCCATTGTGCTTTTAAAGCCCATACACCTTCAATAGAATCATTTGGATTATTTCAGCCCTAATTTCAACCAATTTCTACTAAACAAAAGGTATAAGGTTGCTATCATTAAACAAACAAAGCCACTATCACCAAAACAGCAGATCATAAGATCAAGTCACAAATATATTTTTATGGTCATACTAAACAGCCTGATGATAAATAAAAGCCATTTTCTCCCACTTTAGCTATCCCTGATGGCACTTTGGTTATTATGTGGCTCCTCTGCCACAGGTTTGTCAGCATTATCCACTCACACACAAAACAAAAACGCTTTGGGTAAAAGAGAAGCAAAACAGGCAAACACAAACTACAGACTACAGGCCCTGTGTCACAATGGGGTCCTGACCAGTAAAGTAAAGTACAACTACTACTACATAACTAAGAATTCCATATTTTAGCAATTATCAACACGTAAAAATAAACAAGATGTTATTATTGTAATGTGTAATGTATTTTTATGTAAACATTGTTCTTATAGTATACAGTAATACCTCAGCAAATACTTCATACTGATGTAATATTTTTACTTTTACTCTTGCTGACAATATAAACATTTCACCGGTCTAAAAACAACACTGTCGTGAGTTTGCCACAGAGCCACCCCGAAAAGATTGTCCCATTCATCACCCTGTGAGCTCCTACCCCCACCTATCCTCAGCATCTTTTGATCCGTCACTTGCTTGTGAGGTGCACCCTGTCTGTGAATAATGGGGATGTGTTGCTCCCAGTGGAGGATGATTGCGAATGCCGATGAGCAAAGCCCGCGCCCAGAAGTAGAGAGGAGGATGAAGAGGACAAGGGTGAACGCAAAGAGGCAGCAGCCTTCACAATGTATTTGATAGCACAGCTTTGTGACAGAACCAAGCTTTGATTTTAGAACAAATGTTAACGTTGAAGCTATGGTTCGGCCTTTGTATATCTTTATGGAGAGTGTCAATGCTGATGTGAATGTAAATTTTATATTATAAGATAGCAAGGCAACTAAAACAATTTAATGGCTTGGACAAATTAATATGGATTTCTAAGTGCACAATGGAAATGTAAGGAATTAAATTATGAAGGCCAAAATGCCGCAGTAATTAAACTATCTTTGGTCATTCGAACCAGCTGTAGAAAAGTGGATTCACTAAACTGAACATGACTGCACACCATAAACACATGCGTAATCTTAAATAATAGGTATTACACATATGTATATCATGTCAACAATTTATTCACATTTTAAGATGTCCCTTTCACATTATAGTTTTCTTGTAAAGCTGTAAACGACAGTAGTTTGAAAGCACTTTGACTGAAGGTTATAATTAAATACTTTTCCACATTAGGTATGACCATGGGGCTGTACCAGTGAAGCTGTTATACAAACAAACTGCTTCTATGGGTTCAATAGGTTCCCTTCCTTGTGGGCATCCAAGGCAGCATCCAGCTAAGGACACAAACAGACTTGAGAGACAGCAGCCGGGGCTTTCACGAGCGGACCCGCAGCTGAGTGAGTGCGCTCTTTGACAGTGCATTTGAGGTTAACTGCTTGTATACATATTTCATGGCCTCCTGGAAGTCTGCTTATCTCCCTTTCTTTGTTTTATATCAAGGCAAGAGGAGATGTGAGGTCAAAGTCTTTTGCCCTAAGTCAGGAGTCGTATAAAAAACAATGATGCATTTGTGGCAGGTTTTTGTAGCCTCCTCTTTTTTGCAGGTGTTTGCAGTTTGTTACCTTTGTCATCCAAAACAACTCTAATTAAACTCAATCTTTTCTCACACAAAAACAAGGATTCCTTTGTAATTTTGTTCTCCTACTCCCTTTATATTCCCTGTTCATCGGTGCTATCTTCAGCTCCATAATGCCGTACGACTGAAAACACATCATAACATTACAGCAGTTCCAGTACAACTATTATAAAAAAAACATGCATGTATATGTTGAACTGATGTTAGAATGGCTTCCTAAGCGAGAACATTTCAAACCCAAAATGTAACTTTGATGTATTATTAAAACCAATATCCTGCCATTTCTTGTTACAATAAAAGGTCCAAACACACATGTTGGAGTACTGGGTTAGCTGTGGCTCATAGTGATGGTTGTCTGTCTGTGTGGATCAGTCACAGTGCCGAGTGGCCGGTACAAAAGATAAGACAAACTGTGGTATTTGTTCTTGGCTCACAGGCTTCTGCTTATTTATGTGTACAGAGATGTGTGTGACACTTCGCAATTACAAGTGTTTTCCACCAGTAAACTGAAAACTGATGCTTTCTGTAATTTCCATTTCCACTTTAATTGCCTAATTCTGTCATTGAGTTTTCTGGGCCCTCTGCAGTGTATTAAAATGGATTTTTACAAAACAGCAGCACCAACGGTAAACAGTGTCAAAAGCAGCATCAATAAAATAGAGAAATATGCTGTTCAAGTAATTATTAGGCTTCACAATTTAATACCCACTTCTCAGCAAACATGATTTAAAAGCCTAAATTTACCAGTCTGTGTAGGGCCCCATCACTCTCCTATTTTGTGCTCCCCTGGGATCTCATTGACGTCCATATCCAACTTAAAAACAGGGAGTGAATAGGCTGTTATTTGCCTGGTGATGGACAGTGTCCTTATTAAGGGTCCACTGAGGTGACAGTGAGGCAACACGAGGCATGCAAAAATAACATTAACAAGCATCCAGGCAGCTGCAGCAGCCCACTATTTATACAAGTCAATTGGTAATCTTCAAATACAAGAGATTTTGGTAGGACAGTGGCGACAAGTAAAGGGTAAACATCCTCACACTAGAACTGAAATCGTACTGGAGGTGGATGTTAAGGTAGATCAAAATACAGTACAGAATGGTTTGAAAATAAGGCTCGGTATTATAAAGCAGTGGTATAATCACCCAAGTGATATAGGCTTCATAAGTGTACTTTCTTAAGTGTAGTTTTGTTGTGCCTTAAATGTGTATGAATCTTACATCTTACTGTCTGAGATGGACTTTCTAGACTGACATGAAGTGAAACACTGAAATAAAACCTACTGTGCAATAGAGATGTCACAATATTAAATATTGTGATTTTACAATTATTCACAATTATAGCTAAAAAAGCCAACGTTAACATTGCATTTTTATTTTCACTATATAATAAAACATGCATTTTTTTTTATAATGAGCAAAATAATGGTCTTATTATTATAAGTATTTTAGAAATTAATTATAATCATTTATATTTTATTAGTATTTCTCCTGCATGCACTAAAAGGATACATCTCTTTGTTTTTCACTTCAGATCACAGTTTATATCAGATGTAGTGCTCTTAAAGTTTTTTGGGTTTTTTTGCGTGTTGAGCCTAGTGACACTTTCTGGACTACTTTATTCTGAGGATTGGCCACTATTTTTTTACCTTTACTTGGACAAACTGTGATGGATAATTATCTCAAAGATGTAGTTGGATTACAACAGCTTTGGCTGCAACTGTATAGTGACAGGATTAGCATAATGGATTTGTTATTGAGTGGATGTTCACCTGGACTTCTGCCTTTCATTTAAGCAGTGAATGACACGGTGAGTTCCGTGCAGACACACACACACACGCACAGCCTGTGAGTGACTCATGTTGTGCTTTGTGTTGCACCTTGAGAAACCGTTCTGCAGGATAGTGTAGATTCTAAAACTCCTACAATCAACCAAATGTGGCCATAAATATTTGCAGTAACTGAAAATACGGTTATTCTTTACATCCCTAAAGGACACACCCATAATGACCAGATGACAATAATATTAAGTTAAGTAGTTTTATTTAATAAAAATTACAACATACAGCTAATAGTCTGCCTTGTTCTGCACTGATCCAATGCAATTACTCAGTGAAAGTGGAGACAACAACTCCCTTGTCCAACTTATACCTGGACAGAAAAAGATACCTATTGCTGACAGTGGCAAGAGAGGTTCTGTCAGCAGAAATGTGAAGGACTGGCTACAGCAAGAAAAAAAGCCAAATGAACAAGTGTAGGCCGAGTGGGACTAAATCGCTGATCCAGCTAAGGGGAGTTACTGTCTGTCAGAAAGTGGACCCTTTGACCAAGGCTCTGTGTCCATAAATAGTACTTGACCCCTGTTTGAGGCAGGAGAGAGGGGATATTTGCCTCCTCCCAGTTGTGAGGCTCGCAGACGCAAGACAGCGTTTTCCTCTCTCCTCAGCACTGACCTGTGGCCAGAGGCGGGTTCAGCTTGGAGTACAGTGCACACACAATCTTAGCTCTTCTCTCATACTCTAGCTGCCGCAGATAAATTCATCATCCCATAGGTCAAACAGAACACTAAAAATAGAGATTTGGGAGAATAGTGGCTCATTGCTTTGGAGAAGTACCTCAAGTTGATTTCTAAAGTTTGGCCTGAAAGTAAAATTCAATAAAATGTAAAACAAGACAC